TATATATTATTTCTGGAATGATTAAAAGTATATTAATTAAGTTCACAAGGATGAAATAGTAATTTGAGAGAGAGAGAGAGAGTCATCGACAAACTTAATTTATTGTATGTATAAAATATACATTTTTGTTGTATACTATACAAATCAAAAAGTTTTTATTGTTTTCAAATTATTTTTTATGGTGTAATATAAAAAATCATAATATTATTTCATACTTCAAAAGCCCAGTRCCTATTTTAAAAATAGTACAAAAAAAAAAGTAGGCGATAATTTACCACTATGCTGTACGGTAGGTGTTGTATGTGTAGGACGTGTAGGTACTTAATTATTGAGTAGGTCACTGTCATGGATTCAAAGTTAAATCATTGCATATAAAAAAAACGATTCTGAGTGGAAAAAATCTATCAGCTTAAAAAAGTTTATTTCATATTAATTATATTGATAATTTATTTTACTATATCAGTTATACGGCATGTTGAGTTCATCTTTTACTGATTACAMAGCTTAACTTTAATTTTGAATAGGTACTCGTATTTTTTGACGCCAAATGGTTTTTGGTGAATACAACACACGCACAAGATTCAATAGAAAAGGTTCAATCATTCAAAATTGCTGACATAATAATTACTTTTTTTTCCAAGGTCCCAGGTGCCACCACCCGACGACACACAATTGTAATACTTCAGTGTACCCGATTTTGGACTGGGAATTATCCGGATGGTTTTACCACTCGATGTTCAAATCTTGCCGACCTCTGTACTCTTCGAAGGGAGTAAACGTTTGTCCTGAAAACAAAGACCTACCAAAGACTAGAGAAATGTGCGAAGACTTATGCGGTAAGTTACACAATGATGACTATGTGTGTGTGGGTCCCACAAATAAGAAATCAAATAGGTAAATTATTGTTAATAATGCTAGTACATACCATTCAAATTATTTATTTATTTTTAATTWATCATTAAAAATTACAAAAAATTGAACTATTATATAATTATTAAATAAATTGCATTTTCCAATTTAGAATTAAAGTAAATTAATTAATATGGTAAACGCATTTATACAAATATGGTACCACGATGGAGGCCAAAATTCTRAAATATCTGATAAAATTTATTCAAAAGGCTAGAAAATGAGACTCAAGGAAATTTCGAGCAGTAGGTACCCGACTTTAACTTGTTCCCCCATTTTGAAGCACCCTGCATTCAATTTATGTTTTGGTGGTGGCTTCAAGAAATTTCTATGATAAACTATTTCTTAAATATTTTTTTTCAATTTCTAACAGCCCAAAAACATTATTGGCTCCAACCAAATAAAGTGTTGAATCAATGGTAGTATAAGGGTTTTTTCAAAACAATACACACTTTTTGAAAACACTCTTTGGTTTTTTGACAAAATGACAAATACTACAAACTACCCGTTGTTGAATAAGTATACAACCACCATGGTTTTTTGCGTACAAAAATTATTTCGTCAATTTCCATAATCAAAATCAGAAGTCTCATTTTGTGAGATTACACATTGAACCACTGTGGATAATGTGGTAATTTTAAAATTGTAGGATTACTGTGATGCTATTTAAATGTCTGACCATAGATCTATCGAAATGATTTATAGTGAAACCTTTATTAATAGACATCTCTCAATAATGGACCCTTTTAAATTCCCCAAGAAAAATGTACGCACATAATATTGGAGTTATAACCTCTTAATAGTGGACCCTCCTAATAGTGGACACAGCCACTTAAAGCTGGTACCAAAATTAAGAACTACCTCTCATAAATTATCACAATATATGTACATATGGTAAAAAAAATTGCACAAAAAAGATTACAAATATATTTAATTGTACATAAACATTGTTATATCCGCTTTTAAATACATACATATTGTTTATATAATAAATAATAAATTTAAATGTACTAAATTCAATGTATGTATGTGTAAATGTATAACCAATTCTTTACAGCGTTTACCTATAATGGACGTTTAGTAATTTCTAGCAAATGTCCATTATGCAGAAATTTTCTCAATAGTGGACAATTCCCATAGTGGACATTTTTTTAATTTCCCATGACTGTCCACTATATAGAGATTTCACTGTACAATATTTTATACAATAATGCYAAATTACACTATAAATGTATTCATTTAATGGGCCAACCATGGGACCACAAAATCATGTTTAAGGGAGTAAGAGGGACCATCAACTTACCGATTTATTGGCTAGATATTTAGAAATTGTTTATGCAACCCGGTATACCAAYATCGATGGAATAGAGAAAGATTTGTTTTTTTTGTACAGGTGAATCGTGCGTCATGAGTAACGGTTCGACAGGTATTTGCATGTTTAACCAAATGTGCAAGATCATAAACAACAAGCCTTCCGCCCACCCGAGACCGTGTGGCAGTTACAATGTAAATTGCTGTCCTAAGGTTTCTGACAGCGACTTGATACCATACAGGGATCCTTCAGGAAACAACAACGGGAATGGCGATATTGGAAACCGCATAAACGCTGCTGACCAACCGTCCTCCCAAACCGATACAATTTACATCTATCGTCTTCCGAACGCTCCACTCATGGAAGGAAAACTCAACAAGTAAAACTCGCACTCGTACCAGTAACATTGTTATTCTGTTTAACAAATCGTGAACGACGTTTTTTTTCTCTACTTAATATTATTAWTATTACTTTTTTTTTMTTATTATTACTATTATCATCATCATTGTAATTGAATACTATTATTACGCATCACTTAAAATATTTAAACCGGTGAAATACGTCAACATATAGCACCGTACTGGCCGGCTATTATATGTGCCTTTTAAATTCTATCCTTATTGTTATACCCTTTATTCGCTGTATTATACGAACATAAATTGTTCAAACGCCAAGGCTAGCGGGCTTGCATTCCGTCATACAATATTAAGCGAAGGCGAAGCTCACATCATATGTACGACGTTACTGTGTTTATTTATTACGTTTTGCGCAGTTGGTTTTTCTTAAAAGTTTGTTATATTATGTATTTTTTTGTTCATGATAAAGTTACTATATAGGGTGTAGGTATTGCAAAATGCTGRCTTATGGCTCATATATATCCATATGGCGTGTATGTCAGAACTCCGTGATACACCATGCATATAAATATGTTCCGTTATAAATATCAAACAATTATACTGTTAAACGTACTTATGATTAATTATTGATATGTATTCTGTTGATGTATTTTTTTTTTTAATTTTAACATAATAAATAAAAAAAAAAACCTTTTTATAAGAATTAAATTCATGTATTGTATCGATGCATTTGAAATTACAATGAATGATCTTTCTGCAGTATGACATCGCCGAATAATAATTGTTACCATTTATAACACAATCCGTTAGATTTATTTTTATCTAAATTGAATTAAGGGTAGAATGGTAGATATATTGTGCTATATAATATTATGATGGTATATTTACTACTATTATTAAATTCGTTCAATGTCATAAGTTATTTTTGAGTGTATAAATAGGTAAGTATGTGCATATTTAACAATAATTTCTGCATACAAATCCTGGTCCTAGTCATTACGTTATTACTTATTAGTTATTAGTTGTATTATTATATATTCACTCCAAATTAATAAATATCTAAACATGAATATTTTTAACACGATCAGGTTTTAACAAAAATAATAATAGTAAAAATAATATTTTAAGTGTAGATAACAAGTTCGTGATATAATAAGTTTCAAGTGATAATCTATGGCTTTAATATAATATTAAACGAAATAGATGTTGGTATAACTTAACTTATAATTGTAACAAAAGTGCGACACCGGCTAATGTCCATTTGGATGATTTATCTTTGCTTTTAAGACTAAAAGTCCACACATACGTCGGCCCTCTCGTTCTAGTCTTGTACACAGGACACTCGTAAACGTTCCGTGAATCTTGTTTGTCCTGTGTAATCGCCTGGAAGTTCAACATAACAAACGTATGGTAAAATGCGCTAAATAAAAGTATGTTATATTAAAATATATATATTATGCATAATATACATATTTCTGAACGTCATMAAGATTTAAGACAAACTATAGCTGACGATACGTACATCGTTTTAACTGTAACTATATAAGTCATAGGTAATGGAATATCATGATGTGTATAGGTACACCAAATTGTATAGGTAGGTATTTGTTTACGAATGGTCGAGAGATGATAAAATACGGTATTTTATTTTTGTTTGTATAAATCTACAGTACCGTATTTTACCACTTAGAACTTGGCCGTTACTAAACATAAAAAATTAAACAAAGGTGACAGGTTAACTCAATATGAAAACGCCTTAACAATTTCATAGTAAATTAATATTTAATGCCATCATGTTTCCAATCCTGATATGCCTAGCGATTAGAAATAATTTATATTTATAATAATATTTCTAGTTACAAATTATAATTCACAGTAAATTATAACCTTAAAACATATAAAACTAATTTTCTAATGATATTAATAATATGTTCTTTTCTATACAATTCGCATAAAATAGTTTTACCAGTAGTTTTTATACCATATAATATATATGTATAATACCTCGTATACCTATTGTGTTACTGTATACCACTGTATACTCACATCTCCAGAATTATTTGTACAATTTACTTTAAAATGTATTTATAAACTTACTCGGACATTAATCACCGGCATTTGAGGGAATAACTCTTTGAGTTTAGATTCCATTATGACTCCTTGCATTACATCCCATCGGGCGCCTTCCATGAAAAGCCCATGAATGTAAGCTCCGTCTCTGGCGGCTCCACTGGAAAATCGTTTTCGGTAAGTATACAGAAATAAACTACTTTGTTGTTGGCCGTTTAAGTTGCATATGTATACACGTATCAGGTATAATTATTATTTATTATTAGAGATGTCAAWCAMTTACCTAAACTCTTCTTTGTGCTTTTTCGTCACATCACACTGGAGACACATTTTGTCGAGAGGCAATTCGTGTTTCCTCGCTGTGCTCTGCATAATCGCCGTCAAAAACGATTGTGGATTGAAAAATCCAGAAAGCCAAACTGATGTGGGAACCTTGAACATTAACAATTTTATCATTTGTTTGATACCTATATTGTTCATTTTATTGCAATTATTTTATTATTATTTTTATTTTTCTAATAAATATCGGCAACATCGGAAATTAGTTGTTAATTATTTTTACAATKTTTTTCTTAATCCATAAAGATTCTTAATCTATTGTAATTATTATGTATGTATAATATACATATAARTATATTATCCGTYAAATAATAGTAAATTATAAGTAATTTTTAACTATACACTTGTGCACAATGAATTTTTACCGATTAATTCTAATAATTGTCTTGAAACGTACATATTATTACCTATATTTTTTAGGATAATTTAAGGTAGTTACAATTACATATGTAACTCTAAAATATCTATACATCTTATACTCTTCATTTTATCACCATCAGGAAACCATTAAATGTGTTTTTAAATGGTCATATGTAATTTAAATGATTTAATCTGAAGTAAAATAATTTTATAAAAAGTCATATCTTTAAAAATGTATCATAACTATAGCTTATTAAACATTTGACGTGTGACATCATCACATCACATATTATTATATTAAATACATACACGACATAACATTATAACCTACATTGATTGTATTATATTAATATTAAGATTTATCATAACGTACAAACGTTTCCATTCGTTTTATTTTTTTAACGAAAAGTTAAGTAGTTTTTGATTTCTGTATGTGCAAAAAGTAAAACTATATTCCTTTTCAAAATATACAATTATATATTTAATTACGCATACTCACGACAAAATCAGTGGTCCATGTTTCCAACTCTCTAATACGTAGTAGAAGATCGGAAAACCATGCTCCAAGACCTAGCAAAGACGGATAAGCTCGATTCGTCCATACCAAAGGGATCTGGTCCAAGAATAAGGCGTTTTCCAAGTTTTCCATGTCCGAAGTAATGGTTAATTCACCCTAAAAATATAGTTAATTTTTACTGTTAATCATAAACATATTATAATTCACACGTTTACCTTAAGTCCAAGTTCTAGTTCTTTCAGAGACCGTTTCATTTCGCTAGTTAAGAAATTCATCCGTTGACACTCTTGAAAGGCTACAATCACATAAGGTGTCCTTTCTTCGACTTTACCCATCATCTCAGTTATGTTGAATTCTTCAGGTAATTTTTCTAACGTTTCGTCGACAATCTGTTTAACCTAAAAACATATTTAAAAAAAAAAACTAAATATTTAAATTTTTACAATTACTCGTTCACATTTATTAAAATTATTTTATTTTACTCTAGACCATTATTATATATTTTTTACGATAAAAATAGTTGRTGGGATAAATATTCGACACGAAGAGTGTCGAGGTCATCTGTAACTTAGAGCCAGATGCCCAGACTTAGCCTATCGTGTTTCCATCCCGGGAATTAGTTCGTTACAGACGGAGGTTTTACATATGACCTATATTATAATGTTTCGAGGCGCTTACCTTGTCTTCTCTAGTAACGTTCGTACCTCCGATCGCACCAGCTTCCCGTGGCTGCATTTCGAATACTGTGCGAAACAAATTCTCGGAAGTTGTACTCATGAATCCAATTTCAGCGTTAGGGTGCAAGCCGTATAGCACAGGGTTCTCGGCAGGTAAGACTTCGTCGATGTAGTTGTGATAACCTTGATAATCTGTGTTAGGTGGTGCGGGGAAACCCGGAGCGAGGTGAAGATCACCGTCGATCTAAAAGAGGTATACAGGTAAGATAATTCGATTTGTTGTCGCTTGTAAAAGGTTAATACCAGAGTCAAACACCCATTAGATCTCGTATAAAAATATAGGTATCATGTATTTTATACCGGAGGAGTGGCCAAAAAGAAACGTTCACGGTCTTAGCGCAGAATACGGATAACATTACTTAAATATTAATATTCAATTCTAGGGATTCTTGAATTCGAATAAAAAAATTAGAAATATTCTAATTMAAATTTTCAAATTTGTCATATAAGATTAAAATAAAAATAATAATTAAATTCAGTTTAGCCTAATAATGGTTTAGCCACTCCCACTAGTCCCACTAAATTAAATATATTAWGCTATAGGTATATTAGATATTATGTTTTATACTCAAATGAACAAATCAAGATTTATCTACCAGGTCAGGCTGCATCAGTTCCTCCAAATATGATATACACAATTTTCTATCCCAATCGTCTGTTATATGGCCTCCGTACATGATTTCTCCAAATAAATACCGTAGATCTTCCCATGGAACTTTGTTATTTGCTTCTAAATAGTTAAACAGCACGCTGACGCTTATATTTAAGTCACCTGAACGGAAAAAAATRTGGTGAGATACTATTTTAATAAAGGTTGAGCGTGCATAGGCCAACGGATCGAGACACTATTTAAACGTTTGGCAATAAGGGTATTCGTACCGACGTTAAACGGATAGATCTTGTTCCACCCTTGCGCACCGAATTTTCTACGTTCGGCGACTACGGCGTGGAAATAACAAAGTGAAAATAGGATCGCTTTGAACTCGGCTTCTTTGGATGACATCTCCAGTGTTTCTTGATTGAAATTTTCTAGCGCCTTGTGCAAATTTGCTTGCATACCTGTAGGCGGTTCGTTCGTAATTTTGATACACGATTCCAAAATKCCCTAATGTCATAATAGAAAATAATATTATAAAAACAATATAATCCTGGCATTTTACTAATAGATTTAAATATGTTTTATAGCTGTCTATATTAATGGGAAATCTATATTAGTTATTATTTATTTTTGTGTATAGATTAAAGTGAATTTATTGACTTTATATATGTAGTAGTTAACTATATAACAAGCAGTTTTGCCTAAAGTTTTTTTTTTTTAATGATATTAGTTTTATTCTATTTGAAAGTCGTCAGGGTTAAGCCAACATTTTACTAAGTAGCGTTTCCTATTAAATCCCATGCTAAGTGAATATAATTTACAGAGTTTAAAACAATGTTTTTCAATCGCTGTCCAAAACATCTATTTCCGATTAGCTTTCTACAAGTAAATGTATAAAGTTAGGTACTTGTGGAATAATGTGTGCCGATGCCGTAGCTGCCGGTTCAGCACTTAAAAATAGTCTATAGCTTGGATGAGCAGTGTCTCCGAGTAGTTCCATTTTCTTTTCAAGCGTCGGCAGCCACTTTTTCACTAAATGTATATTCTGAAGAAAAAAAACATGACGTATGAACCAAGCATGTTCCAAACCATTATTTGAAAAAAAAATTTATTTCTTTTTAATACATAATATAAAACTTCGTTAATAACTAATTTGAACATAAATAATATTATAAAACTATTCTGTACAATATAATATAGCAATACATTTTGACAAAAACTTCGTCTAGCATACTTTTTTAAATTACAAAAATTAGAGTTGAAGCGGTTCCACAATACCACTCAGCGATTTGGCGAGGTCGAATAACACTCAGTGGCGTAGCCAGGATTTTTTTTAGGGGGAGGGGGGGTTTAATAACAGAATACATTTTACCACGACCAAATGATTGTATTCCTATATTATAAACATTATATTTTTGATATAAATACGGCTGAGGGGGAGGGTTATAACACCCAAACCCCCCCCTGGCTACGCCACTGATAACACTGGTGTGGTTAAAACCGAAAAAAGTCATCACACCAGTAAGGATAGTATCTAAATTGCCTATCCTAAACGCCGCGTCATATTAAATATTAATTTAAATTCATAATAAATCATTTTTTAAACGCGATAAGTTAAAAATATTTTTATCAACAMGTATCGACCAATTTTTCCAAACAATTGTTTTATATGATACACCACATATCTTTATTCGTATATTATTTGAAATGTGTCTTGGTAAGACGCGATCGTAGTACTAAGCGTATCTACAGAAACACACTGAGCGTAGGTACCGGCTACATTTGTTAGCTCTCGGATGGGTGACCACCCATATACATGTACAAATACGTGTTACAACCTACTAACTTAAAAACATACGAATAAATACACAAAAATAGCCCCTACCGTACCACCCTATACCCAATGGCCTATGTTTCTGTGAGTACCCCCTAAAAAAAGCATTTGAAATGCATAATAAAAATAGTCACGTTATATATATATAATCTTGAGGTTGAATGATAACCAAACTAGATAATTATTGGTATGATGGTAGTACAAATTTTGGTAAAAAATATATCACCAATTGATTACATAAGATTGTAGTCATAATTTGAGTTTTAACCTAAGTTAGAAACTGAAGTATTATAGTATTTTTATATTTGTTTAAAACAAGATTATTATTTTAACATTAGAATATATGTTATTTATTTGAACATACTCGTAACATTTTTAGAAGTATTTTTATATTTTTATGATTTTAATTTATACCTGAAGAACGACCCAATGACCATTTTGTGCCGAAATTTCCATTGCACTTTCTGCAACAACCTCTTGGCCTTGACCTAATGACACGTTGTGAAAATTGTTTAGAGCAGTAGAAATTCCAAGTTTATGTCCCAAATCTTCAACATCCTAAAGAAGTAATATTAAAATAATCATTAGGTATAGTACCTATATACAATATATGTAATATATCACATTATAAAAATAAAAAGCATGGATTTAAATAGTAATTTAATATACTATATTACTATATAATAGGTATAAATATTTAAGTATATTATATGCATTAATATATATTTGGTACGTAGACCATATTTTCATAAATAAT